GCAGGGTGGCCCAATCAGCACTTGGCTGGTATCAAAAGGGGCCCTGCGTAAATTAAGACTACATTAAATTTCTATACATAGAGATTAACGTTTACAATTATAAAAAATTAAAAATAAAAACTACTCTCTAAAATAAAGTCTAAGAAGATTTTTAAAAATGGGGAGCGATGTTGTTTCTTTTATTGTAGTGGGTAAATTATTAAAATGAAGCGCACCAGAGTATCTGAAAGTCCTTTTCCCTAGCGTTAACTTGGGTTTCGGCAAGTGCATGTTCATGTTTCGGCAAGACACATTAATTCTCCTTACTAAATGCCCTACAAGTTTTGATCTTAGCTTTGAGAATTTGGTAGTACATCAAGACTATCGCGAGTTAAGTATATCTTTTCGTTATCTTATCTCCGGTCGTTTTGGAAATCTACTGATACTGTGAGAAGAAAAGATATGTCCACCTTAAAGGACCTACGTCACGGTTTGCGCATACTGAAAAGCTAAGCCTCAATTTTTCAAATTCGTCGTTTGTAATCCGTGTCAATCTTCTCCATCCTTAGCCATCCTTGTTCCTTTATGGTTTATCATTATCTTTTTGGTGTTTTTCCACCTTATTAAACTGTTATTTTGAGGTTTCCTACCATTTAAAGGTAATTTTGTAGGTGGCCAAAATAACTCAAAATACCGTAACTGAGCTCCTTTAAGGACTGGCTTGGAGTACGTTTTTCAAAAACCTGTGTACTAAAATTCCATTGTAGGTTCGCTTCCAAATAAGTCGTTGGTAGACCCGAGAAAATTCGAAACCAGATACGACTTGAATGTTTTTTGGCGCTTTCCTGCTTATATAAACTATCAAGAGAAATCAAAAAGAATCTGAAAGAAATTTGTTGCACGCGCGTCAAATAAACAACCAAAATAAACCGATCATTCTATTCCAGAATTTCCAAACTGGGTGGCATCAAGAATTCATTCGAGATTGCAGCAAAATTATTGCCAAAGCCACAGTTATAATATTTGTAAAAACAACTTCGGCTTGAAATCGTAGGAACGAAAATGTGCAAATTTCTAAACGCTGTTCGCACTCATCGCACAAATATTTGCATTCTTATAGATCAAAACAATATTTTGAATTTTTGCTTTATAATCAACCGTTGTGTAAATTGTCGTTTTTTTTTCCTTTCTTACCAAGAATAGGCTCTGCTAAAGAAACAGACATGGAAGAAAACATGCATTTCAAAGAATTATTTTTTTCTAACAATTTGCAGTCTTGAGCAATAACAACTTTTTAAAACATAAACAAGCGAATATCAAGTTTGACAACCGACGTTTCGGCGTCATCGTGACACCATTCTCAAGGCAGAGTTAATAAATTAATGCGAAAATTTGATTTCTATACTTTTTAGTCTCTACAAATTAGCATAATAACAAAGGCTCAGAAGTTCTTCAAGGACCTTTTTACGAATCGAGCCCATTTGCACGTTTAAGGGATGGTTTAAGTTTTCGTATAACTTGCAGTTGCTTGGAAAAATTGTAACAACAAGATTTGAAGTCCGCTTTAGCTAAGGTTTTAAACTTCAAGACCAAAAATATTTAGGAAATTGTACTTCTCGTCTTACGTGACAGTGTTGCGTTCTTTTATAGTAACACAACGTAAATCAGTCACGCAATAGTGCATGCTTTTAGAAAAAGAGATTTGCTGCTTAAAAGGAAAGAATCTTGGAAAAACAAAACAAATTTCTGCTGCAATCTCGAATAAGCCTTTATTGAAGAATTTAAAGACATCCGATGATACACTGGCAAAGAAAATGTTTTGAAAAACGTACACACAAAGTTTACAGTAAAATGAAATATTGAGCCACCCATAGGCGACCTCACATAATTTTTGCAAAACTGATGGAGTGCTTACGACAAGTTAATAATGTAGCTGCACAAGACAATTTCGAAGACTTTAAAAAGGAATCGTATAACAGACTCAAGATGGTCACATTAAAAAAAATGGTCACTTAGTGAGGTTCGACTGCCTAATGCAATGCAGACATGTACATGTAATGTACTGTACCAAGATCTCACCATTTCATGGTGTCACTGTGATCTCTACAAATTTTGTACATGGCTTACAAACTCTCTGTTCTCAAGCACGACCTTAGCAGGAACACAAGGTTAAAGAATCACAAGCAAAGCCGGTGCCTTGGAAACCGAGAGAGTTAACTTGCTTTGCCCACGATTCTTTAGCTTCATATCACTGCCAAAGTCCTCTGAGAAAACAACGAAGCTGTAAACAGCCCACGGTACACAATGATCAAATATAGACAGAAACTCTCTATAAATCTTGAAGTAAAAGTCAAGTTTGTCCGTTAGTTTGCCAATCAGTTGTCTGTCTTATTTATCTGTCGGTTTGTCTGTTGGTCTGTCTGTCTGTCTGTCAGTTGTTCAGTCTGCTTGTTATGTCTGACAGAGCTGTCTGTCTATTTGTCTGTCTACATTCAATCAGTCAATCAGGCAGTCATTGCATCAATCAGACAATCAATTAGTCAGTCTATCATTCCATGTGCCAGTCTTTCAATAAGTCAGTCAGACAATAAGCCAGACAATCAGTTAGTCAGTCTGTCATTCTTGCATCAGTCTTCCAGAGAGTAAGTCAGTCNAGTCAGCCAGTCAGCCAGTCAGCCAGTCAGCCAGTCAGCCAGTCAGCCAGTCAGCCAGTCAGCCCGTCAGTCAGTCAGTCAGTCAGTCAGTCCCTGAGTTAGTCAGTCAGTCGGCCAGTCAGTCAGCCAGTCAGTCAGTGAGTCTGTAAGTGAGTCCGTTATTTTTTTACCTCAGTCTTTCAGTGAGTCAGTGAGTCAATGAGTTTGTCAGTCAGTCAGACCATCAAACTTCTGATCCATTAGTCAGTCAGGCAGCTATTATTTTAATCAACCAATCAATCAATCAATCAGTCAGTCAGTCCATCATTCTGTCAGCCAGTCAGTCATTGAGAAAATCAATCAGTCACAAGGTTCATACTCTTTCAGGCTTTTCCATGACCTTTCTGAGTTTTCCATGATGTTAAGCAGTTTTTTTCCAAAGTATTGTCAAAACAATCTGTTCCTGAAAATGTTTTGCCACATTATGATGCATAAAATGGGTGCCAGGTATATTTTATAATAATACTGGAATTAAAACTGGTTTTCTGAACTGTCTGTTATTTTTTCAACTTTTGTTGTTGTTGTTGTTGTTGTTGTTGTTTTGTTTTTGTTTCTTTTTTTTGTTTGTTTGTTTTTGTTTTTTGCTCTTTTTATTCTCAGAAAGTATATTGCTTTTCCATGACTTTCCATGACCCACGCTTCAATTTCAGGACTTTCCTGGCCTGGAAAATGAAATTGTAGAATTCCATGACTTTCCAGGTTTTCCATGACCCATATGAACCCTGAGTCAGTCCATCATCCTATGCATCAGTCTTTCAGTGAATCAGGCTTTCAGTGAATCAGTCAATGAGTCTGTCAGTCAGTCAGTCAGTCAGACCATCAATCAGACAGTCTCCCATTCTGTCAGTCACTCAGTAGATCAGTAAGTCAGTCAGTCAGTCCATTATTCTGTAAATCAGTCTTTCAGTGAGTCAGTCGCTAAGTCCGTCACTTTGTCATTCCTTGCATCAGTCAGTCAGTCAGTCAGTCAGTCAGTAAGTCAGTTGGTCGGTCAGGTAGTAAGTCACGATGGGTTTGAAACTGTACTGCTAAAAAACTGTTATATGAGAGTTCTTCTCTTCATTGTGCAAATCAACCATGGAAGAATACCATGTACATTGCAAGACTGAACTAAGTTAGTCAGGGCAGAACTTGGCTTATTCAAGAGTTTTGTTCACCTGGTTCCCCCAAGAGTTGGATTACAAAATAAAACATACAGTTTTTCTAAAGATGACTGGTTCAAGCTTTGGACCACCTTGTCTCTGTTGGCATCTGATCTGGAAAAAACAAGGTTCACTTCTTTCAGTCTCAAATTACCATTGATATCATAAAATAACTAATAACCAACTACTTAGACCCAGCTGTCAGTCAGTCCAACAGTCAGTTAATTATCTAGTCAAATCTGGTCAGTGAATCAGTTCATCAATCTGCCAATAAATATATCAGTCCGCCAGTCATCCAGTCAGTTGGTCAGTACCTTGCACATGAAGTGTTTACACATTTTGGGGTGCACAAAAATTGAGGTGAGGCCCTTATATGGGCTATATATTTGGTCTGAAATTGAAATTTTGGCCATTTTGGTTATATAATTATAGGGTATGATTTGTGCACTCTAGTCTTGAAATAGCTACATTTTGTAGAAGAAGCTACTTTGTCAGCATTATCAAAAAGAACGTCAACAAAACAGTTTTTAAATCACCTTTCTGCTGTGGGCATCAAGGACAAAGAAAAGATTTTTGTGAAAGTTTACCATCAGAATCATTACTTTCAGTTAAGAAGCTTTGGTTATTGCTTACTGTAGTTTTTCCTCTTTAACTTAAGACACAAGTGTTTTTTTATGAAGAGTAAAATTTTCCATATTATGTAAAGGTTAGCTCGTATCAATCATCATTCACTAACTGAAATACCACACATGGTATTTGCCCCTCTGTGCTAGCATATTACACGCATATATCATTTGACATCTCTACGACAATGTGATATGTAACTCTGAGTGTTGCACTAAAAATGGAGCTGTTCGTTCAAAATATTTTTAAAACTTCTGGTTAATTTGTAGATCAGGAAGAATGTTACTGGCAGCTTGCTTGAATTGCATGTTAACAATTCTGGTTCACTTTTCAGGGAAAGTGTTAATCTCAGTCACTCACACATACGTCTCACAACAGTGAGGTACATGTAAATGCTGAAAAAGGGACTAGGAAAGGTAAAGGGTCACAAAAAGGTTGGTTTACACGTGTATCTGTGAACATTATCTTAAAGTGTTAGCTAACAGTTTTTAGATAACCTATCTGCTGTGGGCATGAAGTCTGAAGAAAAGATCTATGTGAAAGTTTCTTGTCAGAATAATGATTTTTAATCAAAGAAGCTTTGGTTAATCCTTAGTGCAATGTTTCCTCTTTTTTTTATGAAAAGAGAATTCCATATTACATCAAGGTTAGCTCATTCCATATTACATCAAGGTTAGCTCATATTTATTATCATTCTACATTTTGCAAAATAGTGAAAAAAATCTATTGTGTAGTTCCACAAAATATCCATACCCCCATCATGGAGGGAATTTCACGTAAGCCCCACCTCCTCCCGGGAATTTCCATTTTTTGACCACAAAAATACCCCCCACCCCTCTGGAATTTCCACTACTATTTTGTACACCTCCCATACCCTCTGGAAAAAATAGCTTTGGCAAGAAAGTGCGTTAAAGTTAAAGTAAACACTCCAAGCATTTAGCCCTCTGCATTGCAAGTCACTGTTAATGATATTCTCGATCAGTTGTAAGTCCCTTTGTAAATGTGGTACAATTTCCATTGAAGGACTGATAAAATGAGTGTGGGGGAAATTGACATCATACTTTTATCATGAACATGATCACTAACATAATCAGGACGAAAGCCAATTTTACAGCACAACTACATACAAATGATAAACAAGAATAAGAAATTATAATGTTTGTGAAATCATAATATCATTTCAACCTTTATAGATCGTTTTCATGTGACATCATCATTTTCTAAAATCGAAAACTAAAAAGCCACCAAAGTTTTATCCCCATCAAGCATACGAGGGGGTAAATTTTTATCTGTTTACAATGTTACAGCTTAATAGTGTACTTCATTTGGAAACCAACTTATTTTGAATTTCAGAGTTATGGCAGTGCATGACGCAAAGCTACAATCACATTTGTCGAAAAATATATAACTATCTCGTGATTTTTAGCCTTTTTAGAAGTTCGATCATTAGGAAAAGTGCTTATGAAAATGCTTGTTTGTTCAGTACAGATAATCAGTCGCCTAGATAGCCAAAGTAAGTTCCAGGTGTCTACACTATTTTCTGGCTGCCATGTTGGTGCACCACAGAGGTGCACCAACATAGTGTTTCCATACTGGGCTCTGTAAATTTCTGCAAAACATTTCGACAAATATTTGCAGTCTGGGAAAATGCGCAAACCTAGAAGTGTCTTCTCTATGTATTTCCTATAAGATCACAATTTCTTGACTTTACCCACTGAATATTTTTCGATTTATTTTTTTGTTGCATGACAGTGAAAACGATCTATAACAAAACTGATTTTCACAAAAGAAATCGACTGCCACTTCAAAGACCGAAAACAAACTAGGCTAGTCACCAGTGTTTTTCAGTCCACAAGGTGATTCCATGTGGACTGGTAACAAGTAATGGGGGCCATTTGCACGCAACAACATGTTCTTCGCATTTGTTACCTTCCAAAGTGCTTTTTGAAGAAAGAAAATGTATTTCAAATATAATGCAATTCAAATACAAGTATTCAAGCCACTATTTTTTCATGTGAAAGTTCTACTTAGTAGGTAAGAAAAGATTTTGAACAGCTAGATTGACACTTGGATCCGTATTGAAGTGAAGGACCTCTGGAAACTAAATTGACCATCCAACTCCCCTCCCCTCTGAAATTTCCTGGGTCTTTGACTCCCACACCCTCTTTAGGAATTTCCGATTCCCTCTGTGGTGGGGGTATGGATATTTTCTGNCCCCCCCCCCCCCCCCCCCCACCTCCTTCCCTCCAGAATTTCCAATTCCCTCTGTGGTGGGGGTATGGATATTTTCTGGAACCACACATTTTTACCCAAATAACTTACTATCTAACCGAGGCAAAAGTTTGGAAAAAAGTGTATAAATTTGACCATTTTCATGAGAATGTCCTGAAAAGATATCATCTCAGATATGAAAATTTCTGTCTTTCCATGCTATGTTCTAAAACAAATAAAACATGGTGTTCCTATGTTTTCAAAGAAAATAATGCACTCTTGAGGTCTAAAAAACTGTTTAATGAGCTCACACTCTGCTCTCAAATCCACTAGCAGTTTTTCTAGACCTCAAGCTTGCATTATTTTCTTCAACAACACAGATCACCACCCACTACTTGGTACATTATGCACTTGGGAGATTAGAGATTAGGTATGGGTCAAAGAACTCTTTCCCATTTTCTATGCTCTCCAAAACCTACATCCAAAACTCAAAAAAATCCCTCAAGCATGAGGCAACTTTTAAAATGTATGCCAAGACATACATGCATCGTGTGGTTTCAAAAATATCTGTAACCCCCCTATGGAATCGGCAGGTTTCTTTCACAGGTCACAGGTCACAGGTCACAGGTCACAGGTTACAGGTCACAGGTCACAATCAAAACACTCAGTAAAACTCATGATGTAATAATTATCCGAGATTCCCAAGAGGTTTATCGATGTTTCCATGCAACAAACCCTAACTAAAAATGTTTTACTGTATAATTTTAATGAAAAAATTTCTAGGGGTGGTATATGTACGAAATGGGTTGAAATGTAGCTTTCAGACATGTAGTGTTAATATATTTTATCGTAATAAGATAATTCATTATGATAGCAAATTGAACTGTTTTATTTCTATCTTTTTTTGCAATCTTTACAACAAGTATGTACTAAACAGAAACAAGAGGGTCCCCTATACCTCCTCTGAAAACAATTTCACACATAAGTAATTGGCCTTTTCATACATCACAAAAAATTCGAAAACAGCTTCACGTTCACAGAAAAAAAGAAGCAATCACTTTTCACGTAAAAATGCAAAGGCTAAATCATGTGTCACATAAAAATACAAATTCTATCCACATTTCACAAAACATACAGAACCCTCCATTTTGATGCATCGAAATGCCATGTGTGACACATTCTGACAGACTAGATTCTAGGCCCTCCTGGTTCACTGTCACTGTGGTTAATTCTCAGTCCTCCAGTCGCAAGCGCGTGGAATGGGTAGGTTTTACATCTAGTTTGGTGTAGTTTACAATTTTTAATGACGCTAAAATCTCCAAAAAAAGTGAGCAATTATTCCCGCAAAAGTCGTTGGTTCACAAATCACGCGTACAAAGTAAAGGCATAATTCACGGATCAGTGTAAGCCTCCTTCGTTTTCATATTATACTGAAAGGCTACAAACAATTTATGTTTTCAACAGAAATAAGTCTTTGGATCTTTGGATCTTTGGATCTTTGGATCTTTGGATCTTTGGATCTTTGGATCTTTGGATCTTTGGATCTTTGGATCTTTGGATCTTTGGATCTTTGGATCTTTGGATCTTTAGATCTTTGGATCTTTGGATTATTTCAGTGCTACAGCTGATTTCCCCTATGCGTTTTCTTTTTTTTTTTTTTCAGAAAAGAGCTGTTGTAGTTACACTTGGGACGCACTTGAATGCATCTGTTTTATGACATTTTGGCATATTTTTTTGTGACCTGTGACCTGTGTCCTGTGACCTGTGACCTATGACCTGTGATCTGTTACCTGTGACCTGTGACCTGTGAAAGAAACCTGCTGCTATGGAATGTCATAGTAATGTTGAGCAAACAGGGCAGTGGGGGTCTTCATTGACTTATCTGAGAACTAAGAATCCTTACTAAAACCCTAATACGTGACCAGTAGCAGATTCAAATTGGAAAACAAGCGACGATTATGATTTAATTCAAAAAAGCTAAAGCTCAAACTGATTGTAAACAGGATTGTAAACATTCAAGTTTGTCAGTTCATGTTCCTCTAACACGGTAGAAAGCCGTAATAAATTCTGATGGGTTTCACATGCAAAGTTTATGTGCTATCTTATTATCTATTCTAGTATTTATTACATCAAACTGTGAGGAAATCACACTGTAAACCAATTTAAGCTACTTCAAGCTTACCTTCGTCCGGAGGTCTTCAGAGGTTGTCAACAAACAGACAACCGTCTTCATTTTCCATCTCCTGACTCTGACAAGCAAAAAATGTAAAGCAAATTAGCTTATGTCTCACATCAAGCAACATCACTGGTTCAAGCTGGTTTTAAGCAAAGAACGAACCTGTGAAATTACGAAAAACCTAATTTTCCACCATTCTTCTTCACACGTGCCAAAATGGAGGACGAACTACACTCGAAGAGATCACTGGGAAATAGCCAGGAGGAGCGGGGAGGGGACGGGGAAGAGTATTACGCCACACGCTCCTAGCATTTTGTATCACTCCAAACTTAGTCCATGGGCCAGGACCCTGGAAAGAGCCATTTGGTACCAAAACGAGGGACAGATTCTAACACTTGTTTTTAACAACATTGATTCCTCTAGGTTATTTTGGTGTGTGATAACCATGCCAAATGAGTAGCTTTACTAGGATTATCACGTGATTAAATGACGTCACTCGGTTTGGCT